CTGAATGTGGAGCACTTTGGATAAATGTTTAGACAAATTGCTCGTGTTACCGCCCTTACATGCTAAACTCTTATTGCACTTTTGGTAACGAGCATTGTCCACATCGACACGGCTAAAGTTTAACCACACCTCGGAGCGCGTTCTCTCTGCCATCTCCTGTGTGTGTGTGTGTGTGTGTGTGTGTGTGTGTGTGTGTGTGTGTGTGTGTGTGTGTGTGTGTGTGTGTGTGTGTGTGTGTGTGTGTGTGTGTGTGTGTGTGTGTGTGTGTGTGTGTGTGTGTGTGTGTGTTGCATGTAGCTGCATGTAGCAGCTGTGTGTGTGTGTAAACTGCCCCGCCCCCTCGCATACAGACGGAGAGAGAGATCTCTCGTCTGGATTGGAAAAGATCGAAAACACTAAAAATAATCATAGACGCATTTAGCAGTCTTTGTGCGTATTAGACACGGAGTTGGCGACACTAAACTTTAATATAATGTTTGTGTAGCTATAATACATACGACATATTTTTTTTACATGTCTCCAGTAGCGTTAAAAAGACCGATAACGTCGGAGCTTAACGGTACCACGGTCTTTAATAATTCAGCCCGGGGCTCGGTACCCACCCCTAGTTACAAATGTGTTTTCTGGACTAAATAAGCAGGATAAAGTTTAAAAGGTGATATTTATGATGAGAAACAGTCATCAACTCCTCTCCATCAAGACTGTGGTTGTGGTTTGATCCGGTTTGACTGACAGTACTCAAAGTGAATGTGTTTTTTTAATGGTTTAATCCAAAAGCCAATGGACTTGAAGTGGACTAAGCCTATATTGATCGATTGATCTCACACGTCCTGTCCGTGTGTGTTCCTACAGATATGGTTGTGCCAGAATCTGGTGAAACTCAGCAGTCAGTTTGTGAAGCTGCTGGTGGGCCCACAGAGACAGACATGTATGTTTCAGATCAAGAGGATCTTAGGCTTCTGCTGCAGGTAAGGAAAGGAACAATGGATGCATATTTTAAGCTGCTTTATGGAATAAAACTGTGTATATTAATCCCTCTTTGTGTTTCCACAGGCTCCTACAGAACTGCAGGGACGACAGTTTAAACGTGACAGTCCCCATGCGGATGCTAGACATTTTTTCATCAGAGAAAACCTATCTTCCCGTTATTCCAGATGCTAGCTATGTAGCTTCATTACTCGAGCAGATTTTGCACTATATGGTACAAACAGGTGAGTCAAATAAAGCTCGTTCCAGCGTAGACACAATAAACTTTCCGAGGCTTAATCGTCAAACATTGAGGCTTGTTTAGAGATTGTTCATGTGTGCCAAATAGCAATTAGTCTGAAGTGTGTTTGACTACTTTTATCTTTAAATGGGTACTTCCTGTTCTGACTGGATCCTGAGTATATACAGTATATCAAGTACATCTAATAGTGTTGACATAAAACCACACGTATGACTCATTTCTAGACCAATGGTTGGAAATGTTTACACACGTCAGCACAAAGCTTTGTTTATTTTCGGCACTATGTCAACCGCAGTGTTAAATCTTTATTAACCATGCAAACTGGAGAGCTTCTTAAAGATACATTGGTAACACTTTATATTAAGGTACATCAATTCACCATCAACTAGTTGCTTGTTAGCCGCTCTTCATTAGTCAGTATAAAACACTTATTAATGCCTTACTCTACATGACCATATTCTACAAGTACTAAGCCATTAGTTGAGAGTCTTTCCTCAATAACCCTTTAATGAGTTCTTATTTATTGTACGTAAGGACGTTGTTGTACATGAGACAGTCTTAATATGCTCAACATGCAGCAGCAGTACCACAAGAATAGTAACCCTCCCACCTAGCAAATGTGTTTATGTAACAAGACATGAAACTACAAGTGTCTCAGTCAGTAGGGGCTTGGACTGGGAGCCGTAGGGTCGCCGGTTCAAGTCCCCGACCAGACCTAAATATGGAGTGTGGACTGCTACTTGGAGAGGTCCCAGTTCACCTCCTGCCCTGCCGTGGTGCCCGTGAGCAAGGCACCGGACAACCCCCTAGACTCCTGGTACTAGGATGGGTTAAAAGCAGAGAACACATGTCACTCTGTGCTCTGCATGTGAGATCATTAAAGAGGGTTCCATCCCTCCCAATATTATTATTATTATTATTATTATTATTATAATTGTGTCAAAATAACTTAAAATCAGGCGTTTCTAACTCAGAATATGTTCCCTAATAAGGTCGTAGTTTGTCTCTAATATGCGTGTTAGTTAGCAACTAGTCGATGGTGAATATGTACCTTAATCTAAAGTGTTACCGATAAATTGTTTATATTGTTGTCATTACTTCTCCTCTTTCTATTTTCTTAATATGCTTTTTTGTGGTTTTCCACGTAGGTTGTGTCATATAGGTTTGTGTGCATGTAAATGGTCTGCAGAGGCTAAAATCCCTCACAGTAGAAGCACAATATATTCACCTTAAAATGAGCATAATAGGGCCTCTTTAACTCGCCTTATAACATCTTATAACACAAATGAGACACTCCTGACTGCTAACAGCTTGCTCTAATGTTCCTGTAGAGTGTGTGATTACCTGCGTTGATGTGTTATGAAATACTCTGTGGTCTAAACATGCTTTTTTAAATCTTTATCCCCCCTCAGGATACTACAAGTCTCTGTTTATTCTGGTGAACCACAGACTCCCCTCCAGTCTGGAGTACAGCGACGCTCCGTCGATCCCAATGGCGACGACTCTGCTGGAGCACATCCTGAAGCCTCTGCACTTTAACTACTCCTCCTGCACAGCAGGCGCAAGGTACAGCGCCACATTCGACCTACTGCCATACATTCACAATACGAGCAATAGACTTGATCTATTTATTCAACTAGGGGCTGCACGACTCAGAAAAAAGGACTAGTTGAGATTATCTTTCTTAGAAAATGCCATTGTGATATGATTCAGAGTATTAGAGGGGATGAGAGATTTTTATACATGATTGCAAAATATATTAAAATGATTATGGTGTGATTTTAGCTTTTCTTAGGCATGGCAAGTTTATTTACATAGCATTTTATATAAGGGAATTCCAAGTGCTTAACACAAACAAGAAAACCGTTAAGAGCATTAAGAAATAGTGCAGCAGGAACACATTGTAAAACGGCTTTTAAATACATTAAAAAACAGTCATTAAAAAGCTAAAATATAAAACAAGCTAAAAAAACAAACAAAGGAATACAATGCGAGAAAGAGTCTTCGTCCCGGGTGCATTCTCTCAAATTAAACGTATCAGACCAACTGCAGCAGGTCTGTTTATTTAGCCGTTACCAAATGTTGCACTTTGGGCATTGTGCATATTGGAATTCTATTAACTGTGCAGCATTATTCCTAACCTTCTTCCAGTGTGACGTTCCTCTGCATGAGGCCGACATCAATTCAGTTTCCCCATACTATCAAGAAAAGGAATATAAGTTTTGAGGATGATAAGAATTTGTTTAAAAGTTAGTGATGTTGCTCCGAGTGGAAAGATCACGAGAGGAGAGTCTTTGTCCCGGGGGCGTTCTCTAAAGTATCATCCATTAAAGCTCTGTTTATTTACCAAATGTTATAGTAATAATATTACTTACTGAGATTTGGACATTGCATTAGTGTCTGTTTAATTGTCCCCTCCCCCACACACACACAGGTGGGGGGGGGCAACAGCGGTAATTAAAGTTTAAAAGTCTAAAGAATGCTTCAAGCACTATTGGAGTGACTTTGATGGTTATTGGACTCAGGATTCATTTGGATTCCCGCTGTATGAAGAAATTAAAGGACGGCGCAAGTGGAAACAATTCACAAAGGGATTAAACTGTTTCAAACACATGCTACAAAGTAAACCGGGATTCTGCCGATGTGTTTATGTGGATTCAAAAGTTGTAAATAATCTACAAAATGGAGGAGACCGATCTGATCGGAGCAACTGAGACAAATAATCCAACTGAAACCGGCATGGACAATGACTATGTTTTAAAAATGCGCTTATCCAGAAAAGCCCGGTTTGGACACTTAACGGGCAGAAGAAACATTTCTATTAAAGAAAGAATTATACATTTCTGCCTTTTTATGCCTTTAATAGCTACTAACTTGAATTGTTATTCAAATTAATTCATCAATTATTTTTTTATATTTTATTCCAAGGCTTTTAGTGCCAATCAAGTATATGTGAAAAACAAAAACATCTACAGTGACGATATGTTAAAATAAAACAATTTAAAAATAAAAGCAAAATGAGAAAAACACAGTAAAACATGGACGATGATATCAGTGAGAATTGAACGTTAACCAAAAATGAAAAGCCATATTAAAAAGATAGGTTTTGAATTTGCGTTTCAACATGTCTGCACATTAAAGGATGATGAGGATTCGTGGGGAATGTTGAGGAAAAAGATCCTTGCAGCACGAGAGGAGAGTCTTTGTCCCGGGTCCATTCTCTCAAATATCATCCATTAAAGGACCAACTGCAGCAGGTCTGTTGTCTCCTCTAGTCAACAGTGGAGCCCTTAATTGCTCCAGAGACCAATTTACAACGAGCCATAAAAGACCACCAGTCTCTGTGCTCGCCACGGTGCCAAAACATCTCACTGTGTGCCCTCCGTTTAGGACATTCTTAATAACAAACGACAAGCACTTCTTTTGTTCTTTGAAGAAAAGCCAGGCGGGAGTGAGAGGAACTTTGTGTACACACCGACAGCTAATTATCTGACTCCAGCCCCTCCAGATGTGAGCCACAAAGCAGCTCTGTTTGCAGACTACATGCTGGAGAAAGCAGAGGGATGTTGGGAAACACCTCTCGGCTCATTTCTGTGTGAACTGACCGGGTTCTGAGTATATCATTTATTTCATTCGTTTATTCGGCAGGGACATTGCACATTAAAGGTGGGGGAGGTAAGAATGGAGAAAGCAGCTCGAGTGCGCTAGAATTTGAAAAT